GCAGGGCTGGCTGTCGGGCATCGCGCCGCCAGGCACGCGGCCGCCCGGCACACCGTTTTCTCCGAGCAGCACGGCCAGCGCGCCCGCCGACCTGGGCAATGGCTACCGCCAGCGCAGCCAAGAGGAGATCCAGCGCGCTTATGACTCTGCCGCGGGCCCGCCAGCCAAGCCCGACCTCGATGCGCCCCCCGCGCCCGCCGCGCCGCCCGCCGCGCCTGCTGCACCCCCCGCGCCGCCTGCTGCCCCCGCCGCGCCGCCAGCCGAGGGGGCCGGCAACAGCGGTGCGTCTGAGGAGCTGGACCTGCCGGCCGCACCGCGGCTGGGCGGGCCCGCCGCCCCCAGCGGCGGCGACAGCGAGTTTGACGAGCTGCAGAAGCGCTTCGACGCCCTCAAGCGGCAGTGAGGGGGCCGTGCCAGGGGTGTTTTTAGGCCACTCTGTGGGCAGGTGCGGTGGCCAGATTTGGGTCATGTGGAGCGCGGCGGCGCAAGGTGGGAGCGGATTGATTGGGGACTGCCTTGGCAATTGCCTCTGCGCATGTGGAGCGATGACAGTGCCTGCACAAGCAACGCGGTTGGCCGGCAGCTTCATGGGTGGAGTTGGGGGAAGTGCTCATGGACGTGCCCAAACATATTATGCGCCCTCGCTGCGCACTGGGGTGGAAACGATAACGCTCAGGTCACGCACCCGTGTCCCGTCACATCTTGCCGTCGTTCAGCTGCCGTATGCCCGCTAGGCACTGACACCGCTGCACTTATGTAAACATCTGATTTTGGTCTCGAGTCTGCACCTGCATGCAGGAGTGCTCAACAGGTGCTTAAATTCAATCATCACAGGCACACCTGCATGCATGTTCAAGCCTTGGGGTTGTCATCGTCGTGGCCGGCACAGTGAAGGTGATGCCGGCACAATGTGTGCTAGCAGCCATACACATGCAAGCAAGTGTGGCACGGAGTCTCCCGGAGGAATGCCCTCGAACAGGCCACGCTGCCAGCAGAGCGGCAGCACAGCAGGAGCGCCTGTTGTGGGGGCACCTGAGTGCTGAGTGCAGCAACCGAAACAGCATGTGCGCCTTGTGGTGCCAGCGCACCTGCACACTTGTATTCCCATCGCACTAGGATATTCAATTTTCGAGCTTGTTATACTAGAGAAACCGCGGTCCTCGGTGCGTCTGCCGAGATCAGGCTGGGCTTTTCAGCGCTCTGAGGCCCGCCAGGACATCTCGCGGCGGGCGCGTTGTACAGCAAGCCCCAGGTGACTGGACGGCAAGCAGAGACCGGAGCCTTTGGATCTGCACGCCTTTGGCTTGCAAGGCTTTGCTGTGTTGTGAAGGCTGTGGTAAGGTTTGATGACAATCATCCGCGAATTCCGGCGCCGTGCACGTCATACGCAGGTGCTTTGCAGCTTAGTCGGCTGCAGCGGCGCGGTCGCGCTCACGCGAGATGCAGCTCGTTAGCAATGCCCTGGCGCAGGAGTGCGCCATGGGCGCTCTCATGGTGGGTTGCTCGAAAGTATACGTGGCAACGGCGTCATCCTGTGGCTGCGTGCCAGGCCGAGAGTGCAGGCCTGCCTCCCGAATCGTTGCCAGCCTCCGTGCGATGCGCCCTGGCGCGGGGCGCCAGGGCCCAAATGCAGCTGCCTGCCGGCTGCTTCTCAGCACCCGTCGAGCCACCCAGGTCCCCTGCCTTTGCCACAAACAACCAGGTCGGTTACTTCATGTACTACTACGAGTCCTGGGTGCTGCCCGCGCTGATGCGCCAGGAGAAGATGCAGTACAAGTGAGCAGACTGGGCCGAGCGGCCTGCGCCGCGCACCCTTTGGGACAGCGGAATTGCTCGCGCTGCCCAGCGGAGCGTGGTTGTCAGGGACCCTCGCGTGGCTGCTGCGGTGTTGGCAGACTGCCACAAGCAGTCCTTCAATCGGCTCTGACAGCGCCTTGAGGCGCAGGTGCGCAGCGGTGCTGCTGATAATGACTTGCCAGCTTCGGCCTCGGGGGCCCCTGACAAACGGCTTTCCCCCTCTCCGCGCCCCCCAACCCCCTGCCCAGCTGGTCTGCCGCCTGGAAGAAGTACCACGAGAACATCTGGCGCCTCAACACCGCCTATGACCGGGAGCTGCGCTACAGCGCCATCTCCAAGAACCTGCTGCTGCAGCACGTCAACCACACGCCCCCCAAGGACGTCGCCGAGCACGTGACCAAGATGATCCTGGCCAACCGCAAGGTCTACGACGCGCTCGCGCCCGGCAGCAAGCGCCTGCTGATCTGGCAGGTGCAGCCCGCGCTGCAGTAGGCGGGACACGCTGTTCTCGGCAGCGCGCTCGCCACGCGGCGCCGGCGGACGCCCCATCTTGGGCTGCCGGCGACGGGCAGCACGCGGCTGTGCTGTCGCAGGGCGCCGCCCTCCTCGGCGGCGGCGGCTCGCATTGGTGAGGGGCGGTCGTCTTTGACGCCTTGACGGGCGGCAGCGCGGGCTGGGCGACGCTGCATGCAGCTGACTGCCTGCGGAGCGAGGGCAACCTGGTCGGCCCCCAGCGAGCCGAGCGGAGGCACGAGCCTGCTGCGCAGGAATACCTCGTGCCGGCAGGTTGCTGATCATGCGGGAGAGCGTTTTGGCGCTGCAGTTGTTGGGGCCCAGCGCCCCAATGGGGGGCGCCTGCGCCCCTCTGGCTTATTGCATGGCTTGAAAAGTTTTGGACGTTGATATCTGGAGTAATGGATGAGGTGGTTACGGCGATTGATCCCAGGCAAGGTGCGTGTACGTAGTGCTTGGAACGCCCCGCTTGCGCTGCACCATGCCAGGCCAGAGGCCACCCGCCGTGCAACGAGCCCCACAGCGCCTCCAGCTATGCTGTCTGGCTTTTGGTATCAATGAGGGCCGGCCCCAAACATCATGATCATGCAAGCGTGACAGTTTACAGCTCAACGTGCTAATAACAGGCAATAGAAAAATCCAATGCACCCGTAGCATCCCATCGTCAAAAGTCACTAGACAAGGCGCTGGTCAAACTTCGTCAGTAATAAAGTCCATTTCTCGCTTGGCCATCGCTGATCACGCATACGTGCCACCAGCCCTGTGGCGGGGCTCAGGTGTGCACGGACCTGGAGAGCCCCCCCTGCAGTCAGCCCACAGTCAGGGGCAGCCAGTGTGACGCCGCGCGCGTGCTGGCCCCGCCCTTGTCACCACCGAGTGCAAGTGGGTGCGACTCGTTAATTATAACCCTCTGGATGAAAGCGCGAAACGCCGTGGGTCGCCCTTGGTGCTGCGCTGAGCTTCCCTTGCTCAGCAAGCACGCATGTGCGGCCTCGCGTTCCAGCCGCACCACAACGGCGGCATGAGCCGCGCGGTCAGCCGCGCGCCCGCGCGCGCGTGGCGCGCGGCACTTGTGCCTGCAGCTCTTCCTCCTGCGCGCCGCGCTGCGCCTTGCCGCTGCGTGCTGGCTTGGCCTTGGCTGCTGGGGACGCCTTGGTGGCCTTGCCCTTGGTCGGCGCGCCGCGCCGCGCCGCCTTGCCCACGGGTTCCTCATCACCGTCTGTCACTGCGGCCTCCTCTGCAGCCGCCTTGCTGCGGGCGCGCTTCTGCGTCCCCGCCTCCGGCGCCGCCGCGGCCGCTGGCACCTCCTCGGCCTCCGCGGCCCTGGCGGTGCGGCGGCCCGTGCGGCCGCCAGCTTCCGGCGCCGCCGCCTCGCCCTCGACTGCGCGCGGGCGCTTCGCCGCCTTCTTTGCCGCTGGCATGGGGCCCTCCTCCTCCTCCTCCTCTTCCCGCTCCCCCACGTCATGCCGCCGCACCCCCCGCTTCCCTCGCGCCGCCGGCTCCTGCGCCCCCGCTGCCGCCGCACGCGTGCCCCGGCTGCCGCGCGGGGGAGCCTCTGCAGGCTCCTCGGCCTCCTGCTCCCCCGAAGCATCGATGCCGCTGACGCGGCGCACGCCAGCCTTCTTCTTCTTCATCTTTGGGGCGGCCTCCTCCTGCACCCCCTCGGCTGCCAGCGCCTGGGCTGGCGCCGCGCGACGCCTGCCCCCGCCACGCACATCCGGCGCAGGCTCTGTGGCCGGCTCCGCCGCTGTTCTCCTGGCCTTGCCGCTGCGCTCCGTGACAGTCTCGGGCTCTGCCGCCGGCACTTCCTCAGCTGCGGCGGCCCTCTTGACCTTGCCGCGCTTGGGGGCTGCCCCGGCTAAGGCCTCCTCGACCGCCGGCGCCTCCGCTGCCGCTGCCCTCTTGGCCCGGCCGCGCTTGGGGGCAGCTTCGGGCTCCGCCGCCGCCTCCTCAGCTGCCGGCGCCGCCTCCGCCGCAGCCCTCTTGGCCTTCCCACGCTTGACGGCTGCCTCAGGCTCAGCTGCCTCAGGCTCGGCCGCCTCAGGCTCGGCCGCCGCAGCATCTGCCGGCGGGGCGTCCTGCGCCGCAGCAGCCCGCCTTAGCTTGCCGCTGCGCTTCAGCGCCGCCTGCGGCTCAACCGCTTCCGCGGGCAGCTGCTCCTCTGCGGCCTTGCCCCGGCCCCTGCAGCTGGCACTCTTCTGCACGGGCTCCATGCCGCCTGCCGGCTCGCCCCCCTTGGCGCGGCGGCCCTGCTTGGGCGCCGGAGCCTCAGGCTCGACCGAAGGCGGTGCAAAGTCCTCTGGGGCCGCCGCCGGCCGGGCCCACCTGCCCCTCTTGACCGCGAGCGCCGCCGCCTCGGCCTGCGCCACCTCTGCAGCCGCCGCCTCGGCCTGGGCCTCTGCGGCGCCGGCCGCCACCGCCGCCGCGCGCCGGCCGCCGCGCTTGGCGGCCGGCGCGGGCGCCTCTCGAGGCGCATCCTCGTCCTGCGTGGCCGCTGCTTTGGCGCCGCGTTTGCCGGTGCGCTTGGGCAGCACTGCCTGTTCGGCCGCCTGCTCCGTCGAGCCCAGAGCCGCGTCCTTCTCGTCTGCAAACTGCACCAGCCGCCCCGGCGACGGCCCCTGCTTGGGGTCTGGCGACGGCACCGCCGCAGCCGCCTTGGCAGCGCGCGCGGCGGCCGCGGACCTCGCACGCGACACGCCTCCGCCGCGGCGCGCAGGCGGGTCCGCTGCAGCGCCGTCCTCGACGGCCTTGTCCCCGCCGAGCTGCTGCCCAGCTGCGCCCTCCGCCTTGGCCTCGGCCTCCTCTGGGCCTGGAACGTCGGCGCGTGCTGGCTCTTTGCCGTCGGTGGCGCGCGCACGCCCCTTTCGCGCCCCGCGGGTGCCGCTGCTCTTCTTCGCTTCCTCAGGCGCCTCCTGCTCCTGGCCGGCCTGCTCAGCCGCTGGCACCTCCTCTTCTTGCTGCTGCGCTGGCGCCTGCTCTGCAGCAGCGCACTCCGCGGCCGCAGCTTGCGGGGTGGGCGTGTCCGCGGCCTCGCTCGCCGCGGCGCCTGCTCCCTCGCACGCGGGCTCCAGCAGCGCCTCGTTCGCGGGCTCCGCCGAGTCACCCGCCGTGGCAGCTGTGCCCTCAGCTGGCGCCTCCTCAAATGGCACCTCCTGCGCAGCAACCGGCTCAGCCACTGGCAGGTCAGCGGCCGCCTGCCCAGCAGCTGCGGCATCTCGCGCCGTGGGATCCACCTCTGCCGCCTCGTCCCCCAAGTCTTCCGTGGCTGGCAGCTCATCTCCAGGCTCCTCCTCCTGCTGCTTCTCCTCCTCCACGGCATCAAGCTCGCCCTCGGCGCAATCCTCCTCCTCCTCTTCCTCGTCCTGCTGCTCCTGCTCCAAGCCCTCCTGCTGCTGCTCCGCCGCAGTCGCTGCGATCACCGCGGGCGCCTCGGGCAAAGCGCCCGCTGTCTCCTCCGCGGCAACAGCCTCCTCCACCACCTCCACCTCCCACTGCACCAGCTGCTCTCCGACCACCCCGTCGGCGCCCTCTGGCGCGTCTATGTCTTCGTCCTGGCCTGCCGTGTCCGCCGGCGGCGCCTGCTCGGCCATCTGGGCGGCCGCTGCATCGTGGGCGCCGCCTGCCGCCGCTGGCGCCGTCGCTGCCGCTGGCTCCTCCGCTGCCACTGGCTCCTCCGCTGCCGCTGGCTCCGCCGCCGCCTCCGCCGGCGGCGCCTGCTCGGCCACCTGGGCGGCCGCTGCATCGTCTGCGCCGCCCGCCGCAGCCGGATCCGCCGCCTGGTCCCCCTCAGCAT